TATGTGTGTGTATGTGTATGTGTTATGTGTGTGTTTCTGTGTGGATGTGTGTGTGTATGTGTGTATGTGTGTATGTGTATATGTGTATGTGTGAGTGTATGTGTATGTGCATGTGTATGTGTATGTGTACTTGTACGTGTATGTGTAGGTGTACGTGTATATGTATGTGTGCATGTGTATGTGTACTTGTACGTGTATGTGCATTTGTATGTGTATGCGTGTATGTGTGTATGTGTATATGTATGTGTGTATGTGTATGTGTATGTGTATGTGCGTGTATGTCTGTATATGTGTGTATGTGTGTATGTGTATGTGTGTATGTGTGTGTACGTGTGTATGTGTGTATGTATGTGTGTGTATGTGTGTATGTGTATGTGTATGTGTATGTGTGTGTGTGTGTGTGTGGATGTGTGTATGTGTGTGTATGTGTGTATGTGTGTATGTGTATGTGTATGTGTATGTGTGTATGTGTGTATGAATGTGTATGTGTATGTGTATGTGTATGTGTATGTGTATGTGTATGTGCGTGTATGTCTGTGTATGTGTGTATGTACGTGGCTTTGTCATTAACCGGCTGGGGATCCTCCAGTGAGAGAAAAGTGTCAGTGAAGAAGATCCGTAGAAATCTGGACATCTTTATACAAAATTCTTGTATTTGCTGGTGGCTTGCTCTATGCTGTTTAAGTTCATCGAACCTAGGTAAATGTCAACTATTACTTACGGTTGAAATAGCAGGAATATTCTCGAAATGTAACTTCTTTCCATTCTCGTAGATCTTTTCTTTCCTCTGCTGGTAATTCCTTCGCAAAGTTCTGGCTCCTTCTGGATTCTGAAAATGAATCTTCAACGAAATTTCTTGTCAGTTGAGTGAAGGTCCGTATCCGGTTTCCGAAATCCTCACTTCCTTAAGACGTATAATGGCAGCCCTCGCTTCATAATTTACACCCCTCATAACGTCGATCAAAGCGCTCAATGGTGGGCGATCAACACCTGCCAGAACGTTAACCGCCAGGAAGAACTTCAATTTCTCGGAACCTCAGTCACTCAAGGAGTAGCACACCTGTGAAAAGCTTCAGCGAGATTAGTTGTTCACAATTCATTTACCTTCCATTTACACCATAGATCTTTGAATGGCCCACTCATCCAATTGCTTTTCAAGTAGTCAGAATATATTGAACCTGTTTATTATGCATGGAAATGAAACCCTATTACTGTTGGAATTAATACTGGAGTTTTTCCTTCATGAAACTCCTTTTTCAATGGAAAACTTCACTTTTTGAACTGTCATTATACTCTTAAGCTGACAAGACTTAACTCGATTATTAGCGAGTGCAGGCAGCATAGCGTAGCCTTCGCACATGATTAAGGTCACTTCGTGCCTAGGTGCGAGGCGAGCTTGATTAGATGCGATCGAAAATATATTCGCACACCCCAAATTCCGAGGTTGAATGCTCTTGCCGTCTAACTTTTGGCAAAAAGGAGAACACTCAAAGAAGATCCTAAGCCGATCACCTGGAAGAGGTCGTCGTCAACACAGCCTGCCGTATGGCTGTCTAGGAATCTCTGACAGAACCGAGTTACTGAAAACAGCCAAAGCGAGATCAAGCACCAAGCGCTGCAAACGAGATCACAACGATCAGAAAGTTGTCATGTCTGCTATCCTGGACAAAGATGGAAGCGTAGAAACGTCTAGAAGTTCTATGGAGAACATCGTTCAAGATTTCTACGCCAAACTCTTTCGTTCCTCCATCTTTGTGCCTATATGCGATGCCACCTGAAGAGCTCCACGGTATCCTAGAGTCGGAGGTGGCAAATGCGATAAGAAATATGAAGAAAGGAACAGCTCCAGGTTTGGACAATATCCCTGCGGATTTGCTCCGTTCTTGAAGTACCGCTCTTCACACCCTTCTTGCGTAACACTTTAGCCACTACCTCAAACTGAAAAAGATCCGGGAGTAGTGGGAAGAATCAAAAACCATTCTCCTTTGCAAGAAAGGTCAGTGGGAGGATATCTCCAACTGTCGTTCCATCAACCTACTGTCGGTGGTATTCAAGTCGTTCACGAAAACTCTGCTCAATCGCATGGAGCGCATCTTGAGCGAATACCAGTCAGTAGAGCAGAACGAAATCAGGAAAAACTTCTCGTGCATGGATAACATCCAAGAATTCACTCAGTTACTAAGAAAAGCCAAGAGTATCGCCTTTCTTTGGCCCTTCTTTTCGTGGAAGTTCTTCAAGAGAAGGCTGAAGATTCCAATCGAAGAGGAGGTGCGACAAGGAGATACGATATCTCTGAAGTTTCTTACGGCTGTGTTACAGTATGCGATGCTGAACCTCGATTGGGAAGAATGGGGATATATCATCGGTGGCAAAAACGTCAATAGCCTACGCTCCGCCGATGTTAACATCTTGATATCTGGCAGTACTGTTGAAATGGACAAGATGATCAGCGATCTCAATGCGGTAAGCCGGCGGATAGGCTTGGAGATGAATATGTTTGAAATGCAGTTAATGGTTAACAAGTGATGCAACACGGGAACAATATGATTAGAGGGAGGACACTCTGCAAAGAGTTGAATCCTACGTGTATCCGGGAAGAAACATGACGAACATGACGAACAATATCACTCCGGAACTGAATCGGAGAGGCCTGCTGCATATGCAGCTTTTGGATAAATCCGTTAAGTGACAGACCAGGTCAGCGATCCCAACCTCAAGGCATCGACATTCAACGCCTCAGTACTGCAAAGGATGTGTTATGTGACTGAAATGCCTGACAACAAAACCATCGTCATAGTCTTAAGAACTTCTCATCACGCGCTGGAAAGAAGTTCTCAGAAAATCAGTCGGCAGCAAGGCTTGCGAAGTTCACACCTAAAGGAAAGGTCGCGTTTGAAAGACCCTCTCCAGTGTATGGCACATTCAAAGCACCGCTGGGCTGGTCATCTACTTCGTCGAACAGATGACAGATGGAGTCTGCGAGTCACAGAGTGGCTCCCGAGAAATAGAATAAGACCATCAGGATGTCCGCCGACTCGGTGGGCCGATTCGCTTTCCAAGTGTTCCAAAGTAAGCGGCCTACGTTGGATGCAAGTCGCGAAAGATGAGGCGGTATAGAGGAGGTGCGGTCCCCGCTGAGATGAGCCTCTTGCTGATGGGCCATCAAAGTGTCAAAGTAAATAAGTATCTTCATACGCTATTAGGTTCTCAGTATACGATACAAAACAGAAAAACAACGTTTTTTCGAATAGCTAATGACCTTGTAACATCCTTACAAGCGTGAGCGATACATAAATATATGAGCAAATTTGTCTGTAATAGTCGGGAATATTCCTTCTAATCTACCAAGGAGCTTCCATGAGATTGTTTTTTCGTCTTCCTCTACACCAACCGATCCTCGTGTCCTCGTCTCTGCTCTACTTAACGTCTATTGCTTCCCAGCCATCAACCTCAATAATCAGTTCTTGTTCCCACTGGCTGCTTTCATTGTCCGCCGGCCGGCGTTCGAGCCGAGGCTGTGCTAGGGGGAGGAGGGCGACAGACGGTCGGTCAGCCCCTCGAAGGGCTGTAAACAAGGAGAGACAAGGTCGAAAACCATTTGTTCAAGCCTCTGGTTGTTTGGTTTTTGAACTTATTCTTTGTTTTCAACCCTTCAACCGGCCGTCTGCCTCCCTCCTCCCCCCTAGCACTGCCTCGTGGCACGCCGGCCGGCCGGCCGGCGGACTATGAAAGCAGCCATTAACAATCTCTGCAGCAGCCCGCTAATGACCACACTACAATAATTGACTTTCTTTCTCTTTGAAGCACCATTGCAACGATTCCCTCGCAGGTGGCGAGAAAACTACCAGCCGATTATAGATCTATGATGAAGATGACATATGTATTCTTTGTTGCTCAGCGAATGGATTGTTCGTCAATTTCCTGTTGTACTCGCTTCTCACATTTACTGCCCCACTAAGCAACTGTTCATACTGCGAATAATCAGCTAGTATTCTCAAGTTGCCGATCATTACCTCAACTTTTTCTCGTCAATTGATGTGGGAATACGATGGCCAAATAACAGGGAATGCCCTCCTAGGTGTTTCTTGTCGTAGTCTATTCATAACGTGTACAGTAGTCGCCGTGAGAACTCAAAATTTCACGAGAATACCGCAAATTCGCGTCTTCTTCGTCTTTTTTTATAAATCGCTTCAAAGTGAAGTAATCGAGAGGAAAAATACCGTTGAATCAGCTCATCGAGCCCTGCAAGTTGATACCCTAAAATGTTAAAAATGCTTCATTTTGGGTTGCGCCATGCACTTGAGCTCCATCCGAAAAGTGATTGCATGCACATGGGGTGCACGCTTTAGCGCCTGTAGGGGCTCATTGGTCCCTGAAGATGATTTGTTCAGAATTTGCTTTGGATCGCGCCATTTACTCGACTTTACTCAGTACTCTCTGGAAATGATTGTTGGTTTTGTTCAGTCTCCATCCTTCATTCCTAATGTGGAGACTCTAGATAAGTGCATCTACGGTTCTTGCACGCAACGTTCTTTAATACAGGTTTCATTGAGAATATGGCATCAATTTAAGGCAAAATAACGCAGTCGATTTTTTTTTACGTTTTCAAATTTTTGGAGGAATTTATCTTCGGAATCTGAGAAGATGGTGTTGAGGCGCTCCACTGTCCTGGACAACTCTTTGTTGTCTGCGATCCTGTAATGGCACGCCCTATCATAGATCAAAATTTCTCCCTTGGTATGGCTCCAAACTTCGAACTTCGCCAAGCCCAAGTCATAACACAACGTTTTTTCCCTTTCCGTTGACCTTTTTGTAGCTGCGTTGTACACTGTTAGATTCCCCGTGAAAAATCCTATCGATTGATATATAGGTCAACCCGTGAAGAAAACCTCCCTCCCAACCACTTTCTGCAGTAGGCCCGTCTCTGAGCGGTTTCCTGCATGGCGTGTTTGGATACGCATGCGGCAGGGTACTGTAGTGGCCGGAATTCGAAGGCTTTCGAATGATAATTATATGAATGAGGGATTAGATCTGCTGGTGGCGCGGTACTGAAGTGGCGGGAAGGGAGTTGGATCGATTAATGATTACTTCAGTGGGGGGG